TAGCAGCGTAGGATTTGCATGAATTCGCGAGATCGAAACAGCATTATTCTCTAGACTGGAAATAACTTCATTACGAACAAGCACGTGTTTCAGCAGTGGGATTGTCATGAGATTCAAGAGTGCCGCGTGTCACGGATTTTGGATATAGCCAAGCAGATACACTGCATCGTACAAATGTATATTCCAATGCATATACGAAGTAGCACGTATAAGAACGGCATAAAAATCCGTTTGTTAAAAAAATCAAAAAAATTAGGTGAACCTTACAACAGCAAACGAACATAAAGATTTTTATTTGGGGAATGTATAAAAAGATTTTATTCGAAAAAAAAATTTTTTATCAGTGTCAAACGAGATTCGGTTCCGTCCAATCCTCTTTTTTATATACAGGTACACATACTCATTTTCGTGATTCGACTATACGTTGAGATTTTCTGTCAATCACCACAATTTCCACCCTCGGTCGCGACAACTCATCCACCCCCTGACATACGTACATCCTCAGAGCTTCTTCAATCCTCTTCACCAAAGAGGTCGCCCTCATCCATTTTAATCTGCTGTCTCCCCGAAAGCTTTTCGCGTGGCAAAGTCATTCCTTTCGGGTAACGACATTTCCCCAAGACACTAAAAATCGGATTAACTTTACGGAATCAAAAATAGCGAGGAGCAACGGCGCAGTACGTTTTACGTAATGGTGGGTAATAGCGCGCAATCGCGACTGTTTACAATCTCATCGGCCAATTCGCACTTTCGTAGGTTCCTTGTTTTGCAAAAATATAGAACTTTTATATATGTATATATATATATATTTGAGAATGCTGTCGTGGAGCTTTTATTCTTAGAAATTTCTGACCCTGGGCGATAGGATATCTGCTCGTTGGTATCTTTGCAAAGGACGTTAACAGGCCTTGCCTAGCCACTCTAGGAAATTCTAAGGAAATCTTGGGAAAGCTCACCCTTACTAGGGGTCGGTACAAGGCATTTGCATTAAACGGTAGGTAGTAGGCGGGGTTACCTACAACCCATAGCCTTGTATGGTAAATTTTTTATAAAGCTCATACTATTTACTTTGTATATGGGTACATAAGACTACGACGATTCTACAGTACGGAACGACCAACAAACAAACGTTTACCTGTAGCCAGGAAGGATCTCGCAAGGTTCGATACTTCTAATTAGATCATTCATTTTATACTATAAACTGCAAAAGGAAGAAGAAATAAAAAAATTTTAATAATACAAAAACTTCCGAGTACCTCATAAATGAATTTTACTAGTAAAAAAACAAAAAATTAGTGAATTCGATAAAATATCTTTGTCAATTATATAGTACATTCATTTGCTTTCCCTTCGCAAACCAGTCACAAAAAATAAAGAGATAAAATAAAACATAGATACTATTTGTTTTATTCGCAATAGCACAAATATGTAAGTGTTTACATATTTTAAAGCTTTTCATAAATTTGGATTTTATCGAAAACAATAAAAGGGTCATACATTACGTGATATAAAGTGTGATATGGGTCAAGACTTGGCAGAGGGCACCACTGTCACCGAGTTTAATTATATTTTCACTATTGTACATAGGGCCGAGATATAGACATATATGTATACATGTACAGGGTTCTGTGACGTAGAAATTCCCTTAACGGCATTAACATTGCAATGAGTTGGTCGCCCGAGAGATGAGAACGATGTAACCGATCTCCAACAGATTATACGAACTTAACCCGCATCTTGTACATATACAGGGAACCCGGCGAATTGCCAACATCTCCCATCTTAATCGACCTTCTCCAATCGACCCAACTTCCATGTTAATGTACATAGATTGCTACTACATTACAAGATAGACATTAAAGATGTATTAAATGCTATCTTACTATTTCTCAATGTCAAATTGGCCTGATAACAGATTTTCAAAGTTTCAAGAATCCCTCAGTTACAATTTTATTCGATAATTGAATCACGAAAGAATTTTGAAAAATTAATGTGAAAAAAGGATCCTATACTTCTGGTATGCGCTGAATATAGCAAAGTCGTTTAAATAGGCTCACTGTGTTACGAGCGTTCGGAAGTGGTGATAAAGGGTCAAAAGTATGGGAAGAGATGCTGTTGATGATACAGATAGTGAATTATTGTTATAAACGTAACTACAACTGACAGAAGATAAATGCAAAGGACCCTAGGGTGCCAAGGGATTGCCGTGACGTAAGCGTGAGACCCACGATGGGGATTTCGACCTTTGACACGCTGCAGTCGCGAATACAAAGTATTGACAGACGAGAGTACAGACCTTGAAAAATAAGATGAATTACGTGAAGAGGCCTGGATTCAGAGGAAAAGGGACCAGGTAAATAAAATTGCGATCAACCCTGGTCGAGTGCACCGGAGTGAAAGATCGTAGGAGTAACTACCGGCTGAAGTGGAGATGAGAAAAAGATGAAGAAGCGATGACTGATAACAGAGAGAGGGGATCAGGAGGGAGGAAGATCGGAAGGATTATAGATTTCTTCATCTGAGTAATAAACTTTATATCCACTGCAAACTAAACTTTTTTATTAGGCTCGTTTAACCTTGAATCAGGTACTATGTTTTTTTTTTTATTCACCGTGGATAATATTGTTTTACATAAATGATAGAATCGTAGACATAAAATATTTATGTTTTACGATTCATCTTTTAAATTGCAACTTGGGATTGAAATATCGGTAAATCTTGCTAAAGCTGGGACTTTAATTACGGTCGAGCAGGGGCTGTTTTATTACAGGGATGTGTGGTAGGTTTTCAATTATAGTCATTTGTTATTTTATGTTGTCAAAGGGTTATGTACTGTGGGATTCAAATTATATTAATTCAAAAGTCTACATCGTTTTACATTGTTGTAATTAAATCACGTGATGAACTAATAATTAGTTTCCTCTGTTGTTCTGAAAAAAATTGGATTTTTACCATTAAAAATTATTTTTCGTAAATTCATGTTTTACTATTTTTGTAAGTGTTTCAACACGACGAAAAGTTTGTTTCTGGATAATTCTTCCATTTTGCTGTATATTAATTTCATTTTCATTATGGTTCGTGATACTGACTCTTTTCCTGATAGCTTATACCATAGCTTATTTAATGAATTGAACGTTTTTATGTTGTGACTTTTGCTCAACCTCGTAAAGCACGTTTTCTATTTGAAATACAGATTTTTTGTATTTCACTTGTATTTCGTTTGCATGCATTGCCAACTGCATGTATCAAGTGCATTTCTATTACAGCTATGCAACATTATTTTGGCAAGACGTTTCGTCTCCAGGCACTGTATAATGGCACAAAATAAACTAAAGAGTAAAGGTCCTGCGCTTGACACATCTTGTTCAAGCGCGCTTAGTCGTTGCACTTTTACGTGGTAACTAACCTAACCTAAACTGTAATTACTGTCGAGAAGCTTTTCTGCTTGCTTACGCCTGAATTTTACGAGGGAGCAATAACCTATTTAAATAGGTGGCTGGTGGATTCAAACGTACATTTTCTTTCTGTAAATCGCGGCATGAAAATCAACTTTCGGTCGGACTGACTCGTGAAACGTGTATTTTTCATGTTTCAGCTGCCCTGGCAAATTTCGTGGGATTTATTCTGCGAGGTATATTATGACCGTAAAATAACAAATGTATTTACAGTCCTTTCTTTGTCAGTGATTTGTTTCATTTAATCGTTCGTTTATTGTTAGACAGAAGTTACGTTGGTAATAGATTTTAAAAACGTCTTAAGGCCGTACCTACTTCTACAGTCACTTAACAAAAAGTCCAATTAATTTCACTATCTGGAACAGATCGCTGTCGGAAGTGCTGTGGGTTTCGAGGAAAACAGTAAAACTGGATTACGTGAAATCGAACGAAGGCTCGTAACTTGGGCCTATTTTACTCGCCCATTTCAAATTTGCGTCTTTTAAGTAAGGTTAACTTTTAATTTTGTTATATAGATAATCGTTCGTTTATTTCAATTACTTGATGTACATTTTATGAATTGAAACGAGTTGAGCGAGGAAGGTAATTTTATATAAATTTTGAAAAACTGTATTTTTTAAATTTTTTCTAGAATCCGAAAAAAATTACTAAACACAAATTTTTGTTCGAGTTCGTAAATAATTTTTCAAAATTTATTGCATGATACTTTTGTCAGTTGGTAGCTCACACGATAAATTGGGAAAAATTCAGAAACACGTGAAACAAATATGAACTTCCTTTAAGCTCTTTAATTGAGCTAATATTAATTTTGTTCTCGAATTAACGGGAGCAAACATGTTCCTGAAAAATCTGTATAATGAAATTTTTTTCGAAATTTCGAAGTTTGTCGTTCGTAATTTTTCGAAATTTGAATAATGCTGGGAAAAAGCACTGTTTAATTTGTCGAAAATGAGTAATAGCCAAGTGATATTTAATTACGCTTATGTCAATGAAGCACGAACGCCTAGGGTTTCTTCCGGCGTATATTTATTTTGCCGGAATTCGTGTGTAATTAATTTTAATTGCGTAATTAATTGTTTCATTCATTGCGTAGTTCGCTTGTTCCAGAATTTCAACAAGCCTGCGTGGCCCTTCAATACTTAATGGCCACCTCATTTCTATTGTCCGATGTTTTACCAAGTTTAATAAACACAAGCACTCGCTTAGTCAAGTAACGTTAGATTGTCAGAAAAGATAATCATGAAGAGTTTTAAGGGATGAAAATTTAATGAAATCAAATGATCAGCCCAACTTCAAGTGAAGTATGAATAACCCTGTAAGCGTAAAGAAAAAAAAAAAAACAATAAAATTGTTGAAAAAGCTTTTAATCATCCAGCTGAAACAACAACCTGCCCAAGTATATACACAAGCCCAGCGTTATAATGAGTTCTTTGTATCCTGATCGGGTCTCTTGTCCCACCCAGCTACATATATTTATATCTGGTTGTTTCGTTTTAATGCAACGAAATGTTCAATAATATATTAATGACAAATTTTGGGACTTACCTGAAGATTCGGTGGACAATGGTCGAGAAGCTCCAACATATGCCTGATGTTTTGGGCATCTTGAATCACGAAATTCAATTCCATATCGAATTCTCCACCTACGAGCTAAAAAGAGAAAAAATAAATGTTAGGCAATAAATAAAAGAAATTTTTCTTTATGAAAAGATGCCTTTGTAATTGGCCAATTTTTTCCTTTTTTTTTTTTCATTTACAGTTTGAGAATTGGCATCTGTACCATTTAGAGTAGGAGATATCATCACCATCAGTGGATACAATGAATTTCATTATAAAGAAATACCGAACGAATGATAAATACGCACAATGCGAATCAGCTCACAGAACCAGAAACGAGATAAGGGCTTTCAAGTGACCCGTCATGATCCATTGACCTTTTGAGAAGTTGAAAGAAAATGTTGTCTCGTGAGAAACGTCCATGATCAATCAAAATGAAAAAGCGGTTAACACAAAAGGTCGACCGTATCCATTTCATATCACAAAGTTTATGGTCATAGTCAATTCTTTCGTTTCATTTATCAGTCAATTAAACCGGAAGAAAGCTTTTCGAATTCGAATACCGAATTCCACTTGTACAGATTTTATGATCAAATCAGATCAATTCTATTGAAATTCAGGATCAAGCAATGCGATACAGTAAATCGTTCGTAGTAGCAACACGAAATTTTAAAGGCTTCGTCTCATATAATTGTCTCGTTTTGATTATAAATTTCAATCGGCACTATTTCAGGATTTTTTGGTCGTACTAGTTATGAACAACGTGTTGGGAAAGTGAAGAGTTAACCAAACACTAATTTTCAAAAATAGTCTTAAAACACGTTCTCATTTGTGTCTGTCGCAGAAAAGCTGCACTTGCAATATGCACCCATGATATTAAATATAATATAATTTATAGTATACACGAAGAAAAATGAGGATTCAGTTTCGAAAATCTAAGTTGATCTGAAACCTAAGTATCCAATCCTTGAATTTTATGGCAGTGTGAAGATGAACGAAGAATGTGGCAACGATTTAGATATATCAGCAAATAATTATACTCAATGCATGAATTAGTAAATTTCCGGGTCGTTACGATAGACTATGGTATTGAATGATAAAAAATGAAACTTCATTTTTATCAGTATACAATTTCTCTGTACTTATGGTCGTATCTTTATTTTAAGTTCCCATCAGGATTCCATCACATCTTCCTTTGCGTCGTGGCAGTTGAGGATGGACTATATCGAGATTACGTACATTCCATAAGATAAATTCCATAAGATGAACGTCAAAGATATGTAATCTGATTTAGATCAAAGGCCAATTTTTATCCTATGCCCATTCGCAACTTGCCAATAAGACTGTAAAATAAAATTCATTACCTGTTGTTAGCTTCGAGTAATTGCTTCCTGGGATTTTATCGCTTTAAAAGAAAAAATCTATTCAGAAGACCCATTGCTCGTAAGATTTTTTTCCCAGCTTTTACTATATTACACTATAAATGATTTTCTTGAAATTTCATCTCCATTTCTGAATCTGCCGGATGAGATCTGTCGGACTGCTTACATAGATTTTAATTGAAAAGCTTCTTTCTCCAAGACAAATTTTAGTTGAATCGCAGACACGAACGATATGCTAATACTGCACAGGCGCTAATTCTTCATACACGACAAAATTTGTATTCACAATGGCAGCCTAACATCCCTGAGCTTTTAAAATTGCATACCTACCCCTAAAATATAAAAAGAAATAACTACATAAATCCAGTCCGATAAATTACCCCGAATTGAAAATCACAAAATTAAAATTCATATATAAATTTTCAATTTGCACTAGACTCCTTAACCGAGAGCTCACAGACTTTGCCAATTTCGAAAAACATCAATTACAGATATCTTATATATCGAATACCAAGTAGCAATTCAAATAAATAAAGCTTTCGTCAATATTGATTCAATTCTCGAACCCCATTAAACGGCCAATTATAATATTCATTTTCTTTTTTTTTCATTTCCTTACTTAGAGCCCAGAAAAGTTATGACGGTCAGTTAAGAAAGTCGCATAGGAATCGCATTAATAAAATATTCGTGCACGCTAAACTTTGGTGGAAAGTGCAACTGGGTTTTGGTTCCTCGAGGGAAGCCGAACGTTTATATCGCCGGACCGGATGTACTTCCACCGCGGAGAGTGTAATTTCCGGCGAAGTAACTCCCCCCCCCCCCCCCCCCCCCCCCCCC